ACAACTTCATCCCTTATTTGAAAAATCCATGGACAGAAGATATAAATGATAGATGTCCAATTATGCTTGTATGTCAAGATTGTTTCTGGAGATGTACTGTTCAAGGAGGTTGTGAATATATTTGTAATAACAAATATTTTGTTAAAGAAAAAACAGGAACAGATTAAAATTAAAATTAATTCAATTCTTTATAATATTTTAGATAATTAGCAGAATATATTTCAAGATATAAATTATTCATATCATACCGTATCTCTGGTTTTAATGGATGAGTGCTCATTCTTTTAGTTATTATTTTATCATTAACACCAAGAAAAATTAGATAAATTGATGAACGTGATAAACGAGAGTTTCTTGTTACCCATTTAGAAAATAGTTCTGATGCTAATGCTTTTGGTGTTAATAATTCATTTGTTCTCATTATTCCTTCTACTTCTTCTTCATATTTTATTATATATTTAGTAATTATTTTATTTGCTTGTTCTTTTAATATTTTGATTTCTTGAGTATTTAATAAATCATCTGTTTCTTCTGGATCCCAGAATGTATCAATTAATTCAATTGGTTGTCTTTCAATAAGGAGTATTCTTTTATTTTGTTTCTTTTCTATTTGTTCTTCATAATCATTTAAATATTCTTTAAGTATTTCAATGAGATGTTTCTTTTTATTTGAATTTTCTTTACTTGTTGTTTGTAGTACTTTATTTATTTCATCCCATCGGACATGTTCTTCTATTATTCCTACTTCATCTGGATTAAAGTATTTTGCTAATGCTTTTATTATTGTTGTTTTACCTGTCCCAATTCCTCCACTAATGATTATTTTATTTTCCATACTGTATTTTTAAATGAAATTAAAAAGATCAAAAAATTATTCATTTACCTGTTGATCCAAATCCTTTCTCTCCTCTTATTGTTTCACTTATTTCTTTCACTTCTTCGATTTTACATTGTTTTATTTTTTCAATAATAAGTTGTGCAACTCTATCTCCTTTCTTGCATTTATATATAGTATTTGAATGATTAAATACTATTAC